AGAGGGAGAAGCAGACTCCCTGCTGAGCAGGGAGCCCGATGCGGGACTCGATCCAGGGACTCCAGGATCATGACCTGAGCCGAAGGCAGTCGCCCGACCAACTGAGCCACCCAGGCACCCCCCGCTCTCCTTTTCTATCAAATAAAATCTTTAAAAAAAAAAAAAAGTCAACTTAAACTATTGCTCCACTTCTTCCCCTAAGGGCCCTCTTCCTTCTCAGAACATACACTTTAGTTTATTATTTTTTTAAATGTATGGTCACCATGCCCATGGGAGAGTCAAGGTGACAGTGGGAGGCAGTAGGATATGGGGGGGGGTTGCACAACTGGAATCTGCTGGACTCAGGTTCAAATCTAAGTTCTGCCACTTACTGGAGAATAAAGTTAGAATCCACTTAAATGAGCCGTAAATCTCAGTGGGATTAAGTAAATGCTTCCATCTCTTTTCCCACAAGAAGTGAGCAAGGGCTCAGCTGGGCCTTGCAGTTGGGGAAGAGACTCGAGGGTCCGGGGAGTTGGGAGAGGGGGAGGGGAAGTTGGTTCCGAATTGGCTGAGAAGAAAGTCTACCTTCTGGTGTTGCTGCTAGAGGGCTGGCTAATCCCGCAGGCTGAGCAGCGGCCCCAGCGCCAGGGAGGAGAGAGACTTCCAGCAAGCTCGGGAGGCAGCAATCCGGCCAGATAGAGATCTGTGACTGGCAGCTCCAGATCGACCTGCCTTCCCAATTCCTGTTCCAGAGCAAAGGTCACCCCGCCGTTTGCATCGGCCTTTTTTTTTTTCTCTCCTCCGGCTTTGTTTACCTTATAAGGAAGGTCAACATTACAAAGTCGAAAGTGCCTGTTATCATCCCCTGGATTTCGACAAATAGTTCCCTGAACCAGAACGTTCCATGTGAAAGATGGCTGGGCATTCAATCTTGCTGGCTGCTGTCTCAGTCCTGTCGGCCTGTCAACAAAGTAAGAGTCTCAGGCAGTGTGTGTGTGTGTGTGTGTGTGTGTGTGTGTGTGTGTGTGGCAGGGGGAGGGAGGTCTGGTTTTGAGGTTCATACTTATTTCCTGGTGGCATAGTCTACTCTGGGTCGGGTCATCCACGCCTCTTTCCCTGGAGACAGAGATTTGGAACATTCCAGGGAATAGTTCTCGAAAAGGGGCCGAGGTAGGCTCTCTGAGCCCAGCGATTCTGCCACGTTTGTGGTTACAACCCACAGCCCAGTTCAGATGGGTGTTAGAAAAGCACCAGCTAACCTGATGGAAGAGGTCTATCCACACTAATTCGGAGTGTTCCAACGGAAACATCTTACCTGCTTTAGACCATGGCTGTGGTTTCTTGAACCCTGATCTTTTATTTTTTTTTAATTTTACTTTTTTAAAGATTTTATTTATTTGACAGAGACACAGAGAGAGAGGGAACACAGGCAGGGGGAGGGGGAGAGGGAGAAGCAGGCTTTCCACGGAGTAGGGAGCCCGATGCGGGGCTCGATCCCAGGACCCTGGGATCATGACCTGAGCCGAGGCAGACGCTTAACGACTAAGCCACCCAGGCGCCCCAACCCTGATCTTTTAATTAATGTTTCTTAAAAATGAACTGCCTACGGTAGGTATGATAATCAGATCAGGTTTAAAGAAATGTGCAGAAATACGAGCTTCAGTTTAGGTGATGAATTGGAAACCTTAAAGCACCTTCCCACTAGGATTATTGGGTATATCAATTGCCTGGTTATGTAAAGAGCATTTGCTCCATGGGGGGGGGGTCACATTTGCTCAATTCTTATCATCTTATCTATGATATCAACTTAACATGCTAAATGGGAAAAAGGGTCTGGACACTGGGGAGCAAGACTAGGAACCAACCGTGCATATTTCTTTATTTTTCTAAGTGTGCGCCTCCCAGGAAAGGGGTGCAGAGCCAGGGTGCACAGACGGCCACAGCATGAAGGGACCACAGCTTTGGATAAAGTCCCACCCTGCATGCATGTTCAGTGTCTTGCCTAATCAGTGTGTTTTGTGTATTTATGAAAATAGGATACCATGACACACATTTTGTGGTTTGATTCACATTCTAGAGTAGAGCAGGATGTTTATTGCCAACTAAAGCAGCACTTGGGTCTCGGGCACCCCCCGTGCTGACCCGCTGATTCACATACACCTCCCCGGAAGCATACCATCCCTGTTTCCCCTTCCTGGTGCTGCAGGGAGCACAGGAGGGGGGCCACAGATGCCCCAGAGCCTCTGTCAGCCTCACAGAGAGGCTTCTGTTTGCTGGTGGGTGCAGGGGACAGTGGGAACTGTGGCCAGAGGTCAGGTGGGGGTGGGTGGGAGTGGGTGGAGAGGAGAGGGGACTGGGCCCGTGGTGGTTGGTGGTGTTAGAAGACAAAATTCAACTGATTAAGTTGTAAAGATCTTATTGGCGTTATTCAACGAGTCATGCATCAGGCAGCATCCCATCTAGCAGACAGACAGGCGCTCTGGAGAGCTGTACAGTATGAAAGACTTACAGGCAGAAGGGGGGATTGTTTGTGGCAAAGGGCACCTTTTTAGATAGCATTTATCTATCGGGCCGATTGCCTCACTAGTGCTAACCAGGTAATTCCAGATTGGCTGGTGTAAGATTCCACTTCTGGGAGAGGCTGAAACCGTCATTAAGTGAGGGATTAAGGCTCAGTTCCGTGATATCAGCTTAGTGCAAATAACTCCATTTGGGGCCTGTTGTCTCTTTTTTAACAGTGGTAGACAGGGAACGTTTACTGATTGGGTCGGGGAGAGAGAGAAAGAGAGAAAGAGAAGACAGAACTGTTGAGTTGACATTAAGGACCAGAATTTGCTGCTTCTGCAAAAGTGTGGTGTTTATGGAGAAAGAACACCATGAACCATGGTAGAAGCAGGTCAGGGTTTGAAGACAGACAGTCTCCTATCTGTCCAGCTCAGCCACTTATCAGCTGGGTGCCCCTGGCCAGGATATTCTGTCCTTCAATGTCCTCATCAAAGAGGGTTAAGCGGGACGCTGGGTGAGAAATGCCCACCAGGGTGCCTGGCCTGGGGTTGGTGCTTAGCATGGTCAGTCCCCATCCTCCGCTGCTTCCGCACAGAAAGAAGTTTCCGCTGGACTGAGAGGCAGCCACACAGTCAAGAAGCTGAGCTATGGCTGGGGCAGGGGGAGGGGGTGTCTCGATTCACTCACCCCAGCATACATACATCCCTCCGGAGAAAGTGAAGAAAAGAGGAAAGACAGGCATAGCAAAAGGAGAGTATTCCCAAGTAGTTTTTAGGCGACTGGTAGGGAGGGAAATAAAATGGTGCCGTCCAGAAAAGGTAAACCAGCCTTTCCACCCTCCTCATGTGATCCCAGCGGTCGCCACGGTCTCTCTAAGGCCCCAGACCTGGAAGCGCAGAAAGGGCTTCTCCTCCTCGGGGAGACGATGGCCCAACTGAATCCTTCTTCCCGGGGCTGTGGGTGGGCTGGGCGTGGGGGGAGCATTCAAACACCCCTGCCGTTGCCGGAAGCTCGTTCCTCACGGTCGCCGCTGCTGCAGACAGGTGCGGCCAGGTGTGGCCAGGTGTGGCCAGGTGTGGCCAGGTGCGCCCAGGTGCTACGCACAGCCAGGAGGAAGGCGGCACTTTCGAGGCTTTCACATACAGCTTCATTTCAAAGCTCTGGGTTCTTGCACCATTTACCACGTGTAAATCAAGGAGCGCACACCTTTCATTGTTTCCATCTTACAGATGGAAGCAAGAAGCCTTACCAAGTGTTTTCTCTGAGGCCGTGGGGCCATGGTGGCAGCAGGGTACAGAACAGCCTCCCTATTTCCCCTCTGCAGACACATCTCCTCTTTGGCTCCAGCGGGGCTCATGACTCGTCGGCCCCCCCAGAATTGTGCTGCCTCGTGAGTATTTAGCCAGGGCTGGAAACAGTGCTCAGTCCCACATTTTCCGGATCTTCACCCTGCTCTGTCTGGCTTCAGCGTGGCACTGCAGTTTGAATGAGAGACTCCAGCTAAGCATTTATACACTTTAGATGTTCAGCTACAGCGTTTAAATCCTGAGCAACGGTTTATTTGTAGCAGAGAGGAAGTCAGGGGGTGGGAAGAGGCCTGCTGTGTGAGCCCTTACTGAACCAGGCTCACTATTTAGTGACTTGTCAGAGGGGAGATAGTATGGGGTGTCAGGAGGAAATGCATCACGCCTAAGACTGTCACACAAGCTAGGAGCATGGTGCGCTAAAGGAAACTAGTTTGGAAACATGAGCAAGTAGGAAATGGATATGTAGGTACTAAAATAAGTAAGACCGGAATTGTGTTGGAGAGAACTGGTAAGGAACCGAAACCAGAAGAAATAATCTAAAGGGAAGTCATAGACCCCAGAGTTAATTATGAGGCAGAAAGAGGGTGATAAAAACAGGAGGTGAGAATATCTGACCAAGGAGGAAGCCTGGGTCTGGAAGCCAATGAGCTTTACAGGGCTGGTCATCAGATGTAAGTGACTCTGGCATTGGGCTTGGATGATCTAATGCAACAAATGTGGCCAAGGAAGGAGAACAAAGTCATAATCATTTCATAGTAGGGAAACTGAGTCAGACAGGGAGGCATCGTTCCCAAAAGTTTTCTTGTGACCCTCCCTCCTGGCTCTTGTCCTCTCTAGGTAGCCAATGATCTGTTTTATGTCATTATGGATTCATTTGCATTTTTGAGAATTTTATATAAGTGAAACTATACAGTACTATTCTCTTCTGGTCTTGCTTCTGTCATTCAGCATAATATGTTTGAGGTTCATCCATGTTGTTTTATGTGTCAATCGTTCATTCCTTTTTACTGTCAAATAGTATTCTATTATATGGATATATACCACAATTTGTTTATCCATTAGCTTGTTGACCAACATTTATGTTAGGGTTCTCCAGAGAAGCAGAACCAATACAACACACACACACACACACACACAGGCATTTATTTTAAAAAATTGGTTCATAGCCATTGTGGGGGCTGGCAACTCTGAAATTTGCAGGGCGGGCTAGAAGGCTGGAAATTCCAGCAAGAATTGGTGTTGCACTATGGAGCCTGAAGGTAGTGTGGAGGCAGAATTCCTTTCTCTTTGGGGAACTTCAGGCTTTTCTCTTCAGGCCTTCAACTGATTGGATGAGGCCCATCCACCGAAGAAGGGTAATCTGCTTTACTCAGAGTTTACTGATATAAATGTTAATCACATCCAAAAAATATTTTCACAGAAACATCTAGACTGGTGTTTGGCCAAACGGCTGGGCACCATGGCCTAGCATAGTTGACACAATAAAATTAACAATTGCAGAGTTGTTCCTAATTTTTGGCTATTATGAATAAAGCTGCTGTGAATATTTGTGTACAAGTTTTTGTATGGACATACGATTTAATTTCGAGGAAATAACGAGGAGTGGAATGATTGGCTATATGGTCTATGTATGTCTAACTAAAAAAATCCATTCCAGATGGTTTTCCAAAGTGATGGTACCATTTTATGTTCCCCCCAGAGTGTATGAGAATTCTGGCTGAGTCTTACCTCTCTTTTTTAATTGATATGATTTGTCTTTTTAATTTTACACATTTTAATAGGTATGTAGTGGTATCTAATTATGATTTAAATTTGTGTTTTTCTAATCAATAGTGATGTGTCACATTTTAATCGTTAATCCCTCTATATACTTGCAGGTTATTTTGCTTTGCATGTAGGAAAGGCAAGATTAAAATACAAAGTCACACCCCCAGCAGTCTCTGGGTCACCAGAGTTTGAAAGGATATTTCGTGCACAGTAAGTAACGCTTCCCCCACCCTTCTGGGGTCTTGGCCTAGCACATATAGAGAATTCTGATCTGGGGAAAGAGGTACAGAGAAGGTATCCCACTGGAACAAACCGCGCTTCACAGCCAAACCCCTTCTCATGATCCTTGAAGCTTGAAGCATCTAGTACATGGAGTCTCTACCCACCTAGAG